ATATATAATATATGAACAATAATATAAAATTAAATTAAATTATTACTGATAATTATTATATTATAGACTAATAATTATGTTTTTATATATTCATATATTCATATATTATTATATATAATTGTATATAATCTATAATATATAGTAATATATAATATATTCTATATAATGATATTAAAATAAATTATTATCTATAATTATTATATTATATAGTGATAATTATTTATATAATATATTATTACAGATATATAGGATATATTATTATATATAATATATAATTATACTATATAACATATAACAATATATATTATATTTATTTACGTAATAACACAAAAATAAATCATCTTATTAAAATCATTAATAACTCAATCATTAAATTATTCAAACATTATCAGGGGGGTCCCAGAATCAGACGGGAATTTCCTTGGGAAAAGAGCTCTGGGGTCGTCGAGCCCAACCCTGGAATCCAACCCTGGATCCAACCCTGGAATCCAACCCCGGATCTAACCCCGGATCCAATCCTGGATCCAACCCTGGATCCAACCCCGGATCCCACCCCGGATCCAACCCCGGATCCAACCCTGGAATCCAACCCCGGATCCAACCCTGAATCCAACCCCGGATCGAACCCCGGATCCAATCCTGGATCCAATCCTGGAATCCAACCCTGGATCCAACCCTGGAATCCAACCCTGGATCCAACCCTGAATCCAACCCCGGATCCAATCCCGGATCCAACCCCGGATCCAACCCCGGATCCAACCCCGGATCGAACCCCGGATCCAACCCTGGAATCCAACCCTGGATCCAACCCTGGATCCAACCCTGGATCCAACCCTGGATCCAACCCCGGATCCAATCCTGGATCCAATCCTGGAATCCAACCCCTGATCCAACCCTGGATCCCACCCCGGATCCAACCCTGGATCCAATCCTGGATCCAACCCTGGAATCCAACCCTGGAATCCAACCCTGGATCCAACCCTGGATCCAACCCCGGATCCAACCCTGGATCCAACCCTGGATCCAACCCTGGATCCAATCCGGGATCCAATCCGGGATCCAACCCCGGATCCAACCCTGGATCCAACCCCGGATCCAACCCTGGATCCAACCCTGGAATCCAACCCTGGATCCAACCCCTGATCCAACCCGGCCCACGGTGCTGATGGAACATCCAGAGTGTCTCAAAAAACCTGCAGGGATGGGGGATCCAGCCCTGCCAGCCCCTTTCCAGGTGGGAATCGTTCCCAAAATCCCACCGGAATCTCGAGGTTGTTCCCTCTCCCTCCCGGCCCTTCTTTCCTGGGAATTGGGGGATCCAGGAATCCGGGAAAATTCCTGACGGGGGGTTCTGGAATGCTGGGACAGTGCCAGGATGGGACAGAATCCTCAGGGATGGCTCAGGCTGGAAAATCCCTCCGGAATTCCGGAGTCCAACCATTGCCAGCACTGCCAGGAATCCCCAAGGGTCACATCCCCAGGGATTGGGAATCCCTGCAGGGATTGATTGGGAATCCCCCCCTGCCCTGGGGAGTTCATTCCAGCCCTTTCCAGGCGGGAATTGTTCCCGATATCCCACCTGGCCCAGCTGGAGGTCGTTCCCTCTCCCTCCCTGGATCCCCTCGGGATGCATTCCCAGTTCCCTGATCCCTGCATCCCAAGATCCATCGCCGGAGCAATCCCAGAGGATCCAGCTTGGCCAAGCCCCAAAATCAGGGATGCACCAGCTTTGCCTCGGGAATGACGGAGCTTTTTCCATCCAGGGCGGGATTTTCAGGGATTTGGGGGATTCCAGGGAAGTGGCAAATCCGGCTGGAGCGACCAGACCCGCTGGAAATGTTCCCTCCAGGATTTCCTGGTTTTCCTGGAATCTCAAATACTCCATCCAGGATTTCCTGGTTTTCCAGGAATCCCAAAAGTTTCCTCCAGGATTACTTTTTTCCTGGAGTCTCAAATATTCCATCCAGGATTTCCTGGTTTTCCTGGAATCTAAATTGTTTTATCCAGGATTTTTCTTTTCCTGGAGTCTCAAACATTCCATCCAGGATTTCCTGGAGTCTAAAAAAAAAGGGGGGAAAAAAGCAGGAAAAAAAAGCAGGAAAAAAGGACGGATCCGGCAGCTGCCACTTCCCTCATTCCCAATCCTGTTATTCCCAAAAAAAAAACCCAGCAAAGCCCACCTGGATCCTTCCCCCACAACCTGGCAAGAGGCTCGGGAAGCTCCAAGGTGGGAATTCCCCGTTCCCGCCGGGAATTCACCTGCAATTTTCCCGTGAAATCCCCCCATCGGCCGGGACGATTTTCGGGAATTCCAGCAGGAAAACGCTCCTCAAAAATTCCCTGGGATGGGGTTGTTTTATTTTAAGGGCCCTTCTGGTCGGTGCCGGGTTTTTCCACGGATATTCCATAACCCGGGAAGGGGAGGCAGGAGGAGAAATCAGGGAATGATCCCTCAGGATCAACCACGGAATTCCCAAGCGCGGGATGGATTCCGGTTGGATGAAGGGAAGGGAAATTCCCGAGGTTCTCCCTGCAGAATCCACGGATTTACGCTCATGGATCCACCAGAAAAACTTCTCCCGGGAAAACTCATCCCCAAAAAAAAACCCCAAACCAACTCCAGCCATTAATTCCAACGGGAATTCCGTCGGGTCTCGGAATGCATCCCTAGGGAAGCGCTTCCCTGGGGAACAACCTGCCATTCCCAACCCCCAAATCCCTGGAAAACCCCCCCCCACCCCCACCCCAGGAAAGGATTTCCAAGGAAATCCCGCTCCCAGACGGCTCCTCCTCACCCTCCCTGTTTTCCCGAGGGCGAAATTCCAACCCTCTGGAATCTCCTGCTGGAATCCCACTCCCGTTTTAATCCCATTTTAACCCCCCCCCCCTCGGCTCGGTTCAGCCTCATTTTTCCCAAGGAATTCCTTAAAAAAAAAAAATCCCTTTATCCGTGAGGAAAACCAGCGTCGGGAAGGGAGGGGGAGGGGGGGGGAAATTCCCAAGGGAAATTCCAACCTCCAGGAGAAGAGGTCCCAGGGATTCCTTCTCGATCACCCCTTGGCTGCTGGAGGAGATGTCGGATTTCTGCACTTCGTCATCCGCCGTTTTCTCTGGAACGGAGGGGGAAAAAAAAAAAACCGGGAATTTTCAAAGGAATTTCAAGGAATTATTCCCAGGATTTGATGTTTC